CACTTTTGAGTCTGTCACAGGACTGTTTAAGTCTGTTTGCGCCAATTTTGAGGCCGCCTTAGTCTGTTCGAGTCTCTTTTAAGTCTATTCTAGTCTACAGGTCCATTTGAGTCTGTCTGCTTCTGTTTTCAACTTTGGTTGGAATGTGTGTGAGTCTGTTTTGAGTCTGTTTTTTTTTTGAGTGTCTTCTTAATTTTTGTCCTCAGTTTGTCTGAGCCTGGTTAAGGTGAAACCTGACAGCTTTTTATAAACGAAAATCAGCCCGGTTTTGGACAAAGCCAGGTGGGCACAAAGGTGCCCCACAAACAAAAAAGAAAAAATGAAGTGCTGAGTTTTGTCTGCACGGGGTGCCCGTGCAGGTGACCTCGAACAGGTGACCCCTGGGCAACTTGGCTGCGGTGCTCGGCTGGGCGATCCAAGTAGCCTAGGTGAATTTGTGAGGATTGAGCCCTCAAGAAGGGGCCTTGCCATGATGTACATGTTCTGGGCTAAGGCCCCAGCAAGCCTCGTGCCCGCCCTAAGTGAAGGCGGTCCAGCAAATCAACAAGAGCCCTCTGTGCAAACATTTCACGAAGTGGGGTCCATACAGTTGCAGCACGCCAGTTGGTTGGAGTGCACCGAGTATCGGAGCTCTGCAAATGCAGAAATCCCAGGGCCCCAGAGTTGGTTAGGCCCTGGGCACATAACATGAGGCCGACAATGCATGCTGGATATAGAGGCCGAAAATGCCAATGGGAAACCGTCCCACTATCTGAATCTGGACGCAGGCCTTGATGAAAGAGGCGCAACTGCATCTCCTGGGCCCCAACCGCATTGGGCCTGAGTACAGGTACTGGGGCCCAGGCGCAGGCTCAAGGGAGGCCGCCCATACGCAACACTGGCATATAGGCAGGGAGGGCGAGTGGGCAGGGATCTTGGCCAATGCAGGCATTGTGGGCACGCTGCTGCATTGTAGCGCTGCACTTGCGCTGCGGCTGAGGGAGACAGGCTAGCGCTAAGCGGTAGGGCGCTGCCTGGGCACAGGGCGCTGGCGGCCATAGCCGGGCTGCCTGAAGGGCGCAGAGGGGGTGAAGGGCGAAGGTGGTTCTTCGGAGGTGAAGGGCGCTGTGTGGGATAACAAGGGAGAGTGAGGGTGAAGAGTGGGATGTACCTGGTGGAGAGGGGAAGTCGGCATTAGGTGGTTCTTCGGAGGTGAAGGGCGCTGTGTGGGATAACAAGGGAGAGTGAGGGTGAAGAGAGAGACGTACCTGGTGGAGAGGGGATTCAAGAGAGAGAGCTACATTGGGTTATGCTGTTGGTGTTGCCCGATTGGGCTTGGACATTGACTCACGATTCCTCTGTATCGTTCTCAAATGGATGGTTACTCGGTCCCCTTGTGCTATCTGCTCTTGCTTTGACTACTTGCACTTCAGTGTGATTTTGCAATCTGGATTTCTGTGCTTCGTCCACATTCATGTTCCTTGCAAATTGCAGAAATGCCTGTTTTCTAATCTGTCTCGCAAAAATATACCTTCACAACATCGAGCTTTCATGGCAGAAATCCATTATTTGATTGCAACAAACCCCTAAATTCATTGCAGAAATACTCTTTTTTCAAGCTTACTGAAGGCAACGATACCCCTTTCCGCGTCCGTTTTTGCTGCAAAGGTTATTTGACGCGAACCACTGCAAAGTTTCTGCAATTATGCCTCTAGAATTGAATTGCTGCAGCTGAAAAGGGGACCCCTTTTCTTTGTTTATGTTTACTTTTGCAAAGGAACTGTAACAATTCACATGCACATGATGAAAACGGCTCATGCATGAATGACGGAACACTTATATGTGTCTGTGTACAAATCTCTAGGTGTGTGGATGGTAGATACGCACGAGCTTGAGGATTGGACCAGGAGTGGCCTCCCACAGGAGGCGGTTGCCCTCGGGTGCATTCACTTGGGTTGGCTGGGGGGCAGAGGGAGGCCACCGATTGTCTTGGGGGAACGAGGAGTCCACAGAGACAACAATGCGAACAGAGTAGACACAGGCGGTTGGAGGATCAGTCACCAGTGCAGAATTCATCGGCCAATTTATTGGAAGGGCCACCAAGAAACTGATGGTTACGTTGCCCTCCTTGGACCGACAAATGTGAAGACATCATCAGAAGGTGCGTGCGTAATCTTTGTATCCTCTCTCTCTCTCTCTCTCTCTCTCTCTCTCTCTCTCTCTCTCTCTCTCTCTCTCTCTCTCTCTCTCTCTCTGTTTTCTTTCTGTTCTTACCCTTCCTCCTCATTTTATTCGACAGCGCCCAGAGCACGAGGTGATGATGCTGGGCTGACCGGGAAGTATCAGCCACAGCATGAGGATACTAGAAGTGAAAGATACGCCCGTAGACTGTGATAGACAATGCATTCTATCATGCATGCATATTTTTTTCAGGAGCATACGAGATGAACAATGAGATACATATCAAAAGCAATTATTGCAAAACGATTATAATATACACAATAGCAATCAGCTTGTCACAATCCAGATGAGAAAACTCATCAAAGATGAGAAGTCTCATCACCACCCAACTACCCACAGCCAAGCGGGGGGCACTTCTCTAGGCTATCCCTCTTGTAGTATCATCAGGAGGATTGCTCTTCCAGGCTTTTTCCAGCTACATCTCATCCACTGAGAAAGGTGCTTCCGGGTTCCTGCTGGTCCCTCCTTTGCAGGCCCCTTTGCAGGGCCCCGACCCATACCAAATCATGATTGCCTCACACTGTCAGGTCTTTATGTCCATTTCTCCTGAGTATGATGGATTTTTTATTTTTACTTTATTTATTTGTTTATGCTGTTGACTGTTACTTCTTTTTCCGGGTTAGGCCACCAGTCCATCGGAAGCCAAATCGACGAACCTAAGTTGACTGTTGTTTCTTTGCAGAGCCTGCTTTCCACCAGTACCACAAGTGGGCAAATGTAAGGTGGTGCAGGTACCGACAATGTTTGTGACAAAAGGACAGGCAGACTGGCCTTCCCATTGCCACCTGCCTTTTCTCTTTATTCCCCCCTCTCCCCCGACATATAAGGCTTAGAAATGGGTCAATCGATGGGGGGAACAGGGAAGCTGGCAGGCGTGCGAGAGGGAAGGAGCGCCCACACACACGCCCACAAACACAGAGACACACACACATCTATATAGATATACAATGTGTGTGTGTGTTACACTCTTTGTGTGTGTGTGTGTGTGTGTGTGTGTGTGTGTGTGTGTGTGTGTGTGTGAGAGAGAGAGAGAGAGAGAGAGAGCAGGGGCCTTTTCCAAATATTTCTTCTCTGGATCTAGCGCAGAAATGTGGCTGGGCTCGTTCGAGAATGGCCCCTGCTCTCTCTCTCTCAAGTGAAAGCGCATTCTGGTGTGTGTGTGTGGAGAGAGAGAGAGAGAGAGAGAGAGAGAGAGAGAGAGAGAGAGAGAGAGAGAGAGAGAGAGAGAGAGAGAGAGAGAGAGAGANGAGAGAGAGAGAGAGAGAGAGAGAGAGAGAGAGAGAGAGAGAGAGAGAGAGAGAGAGAGAGAGAGAGAGAGAGAGAGAGAGAGAGACAGAGTGGCAGGCTGCAACGACACAGTCTGTCAGGGGAGGCATAGGTATCCAGGACTTCTGTTTATCCATGTGTGAGTGAGCTTAGCAGACAAACACTCAACTTGAAGAGTCTTCCATACAAGCACAAAACTGCCATGGCAGTTTGCCAAAATTGCCTCAGAAGAGTTCACACAACCCGCATCATTCAACCCCAAGTGTAACCTTGCAACTCAAGAACACCATAGCTCACTCTCCCCAGGTAGTAGGCATAGTAGAATCCTTCTACCGGTTCCATCTGTCCACTAAACGGACTCATTAGGAAGATGTACTCCTATGCAACACCTGACTAGATGTGCATCCATCTCCAAAAACGTCCACATCCCGAACGAGCCCTGGATCCTGCTATTGCGACCACGTATGGGAGATTCGGAAGGTGCACTATGCAACAACGTGCATCCAGTTGCCTGACGGCAGTTCGATAAACTAAGTCACACTTAATTGCAAAGCCGAAAATAAATCGAAAATACAGCCGGACTGAGCGACCAGCCAAAAGTCTGGAGATGAATAGAACAAGTGGACCCGCCGCGGCTTCGCCCGCGGCGAGAAGAGGTCCCCCTCCCCCTTCTCGACTCCCATCCCGACTTCTCCCCCTCCCCATCTCGACCTCTTCTCCGAACCTCTCCCCAAGCTGTAGCTAATACCCAAGGCATCAAAGTTGGTGTGTATGTGTGCCAAAAAAGAAAAAAAAGAAGAAAAAAAAAGCAACCTCTCCCTTCTCCCTTTCCAGTTTTCCTTCCTCTGACGCCCTTCCCCTTCCCGACTCCCATCCCGACCTCTCCCCCTTCCCATCCCGACCTCTCCCGCCTTCCAGTATCCCGACTCTGATCCCGACCTCCCATCCTTCACCAACCTTTCCCTTCATTGCCTCTCCCTCTCCCCTATCCCAACCACTATCCCCCCTCCTCTATCCCGGGATGGTCCCCCTCCCCCTTCTTGACTCCCATCCCGACTTCTCCCCCTGCCCATCCCGACCTCTTCTGCTCTCTTTCGCCTACCTGTTCCTCCATCGTCTCTCCGTCTCCCGTATCCTGATTCCTCTCTTTCTTTCCTGTCTTCCAACGTCTCCCCCTCATCGCGTCTATCTGTCCCATATCGCAAGCTCTCCCGACTCCTATCCCGACCTCCCATCCCAACATCTCCCCCCTTTCCTCTATCATCTCTACCTTTCACCTATCCCGACCTCTTTCTTTTTCCGATGCCCTTCCCCTTCCCGACTCCGATCCCGATCACTTCCCCTCCCCATCCCGACCTCTCCCCCCTTTCCTTTCTTCGCTTACTTCTCTCTCCATTCCCGACTCCCATCCCGACCATATCCCGACTCCCTCCCTCCTCTATCCCATCCTCTCTCTCCATAGATCCCTCCTTCCTCCTCCTTTCCATCGTTCCCTCTCCTCTTCTGCCCTCCTCCTTTCCGTGGGGTGCCACGTGGCACACTGGTGTGCGCGGCCAAAAAAAAAAAAAAACTCCTACTCCGGTCCCGATCACTTCCCCTCCCCATCCCGACCTCTCCCTCCTTTCCCGTATCCCGACTTCCATCCCTCCCTCCTGAGCTCCCGACTCCCATCCCGACCTCTCCCCCTCCTCATCCCGACCATATCCCGACTCCCATCCCGATCTCTCCGCCTTCCCATCCATCGCCTCCGACCTCCTCTATCCGTCCATCGCGACCTTTCTCCTCCCGACTCCCATCCCGACCTCTCCCCCTCCCCAACCCGACCTCTCCGCCCTTTCCTTCCTTCTCTTACTTCTCTCGTCATTCCCGACTCCCATCCCGACCTCTCCCGACTCCCATCCTGACTTCTCCCTCCTTCCTTTCCTTCGTCGACCTCTCCCTCCATGGCCTCTCCCTCTCCCCTTCCTGATTCCCATGCCGACCTCTCCCCCTCCCCATCCCGTCCTCTCCCTCCTTTCCTTCCCCCTTGTCTATCCCCACTCCCATCCCGACCTCTCCCCCTTGTCCGTCCATGCCGACCTTTCTCCTCCCGACTCCCATCCCGACCTCTCCCCCTCCCCATCCCAACCTCTCCCCTCTTTCCTTCCTTCGCTTACTTCTCCCTACCTCTCCCAACTCCCATCCCAACTTCTTCCTCCTTCCCTTCCCTCGTCGACCTCTCTCTCCTTCTCCCCTTTCCTTCTTTCCTGCACTCCTCTATCCCGACTCCGATCCCAACCTCTCCCCCCCGCTAGATCCCTTCCCCCTCTCCCTCCCTCATCCCGACTTCTCCCAACTCCCATCCCGATTTCTCTCTCCTTTCCTTCCTTCGCCGACCACTCCCTTCATCACCTCTCTCTCTGTCCTATCCCAACCCCCTCCTCCCCTCCTCCTCTATCCCGATTCCCATCCCAACGTCTCCCCGCTTCCCCTATCCCGACTCCTCCATCCATAGATCCCTCTTCCCTCCTCCTCCTTTCGGACGTCGTTCCCCTTCCCGACTCCCTCCATCCCCGACTCCCATCCCGACCTCTCCCGACTTCCATCCCGACTTCTCCCTCCTTCCCTTCCTTCGTCGACCTCTCCCTCCATCGCCTCTCCCTCTCCCCTTTCCTTCTTTCCTACCCTCCTCCTCTATCCCGACTCCGATCTCTCCCCCTGCCCATCCCGACCTCTCCCCCCTTTGCTTCCTTCGCTTACCTCTCCCTCTATCGCCTTTCTCTCTTCCGTATCCTGACTCCCATCCCGACCTCTCCCTTCACTGACCCCTCCGTCCATCGCCTCTCTCTCTTCCCTATCCCAACCCCTTTCGGCATGGTCCCAACCTGTCTCCCAGCCCGACCTCTCCCTCCTCTCCTACCTCTCCCCTATCCYGACCTCYCCCCCTCCCCATCCCGACCTCTYCCCCCTTTCTTTCCTTCGCCTACCTSTCCCTCCATCACCTCTCTCTCTCCCGTATCCCGACTCACATCCCAACCTTCCTTCCTTCGCCGACCTTTCCCTTCATCGCCTCTCCCTTTCCCCTATCCCAACCACCATACCCCCTCCTCTATCTCGGCATGGTCCCAACTTATTCCCAACTTATCTCCCATCCCGACCTCTCCCTCCTCCCCTTCCGTCGCCGACCTCCCCTATCCCTCCTTCGCCCTTCTCTATCTCGACTCCCATCCCGACCTCTCCCCCTTCCCATCCAACGCCTCCGACCTCCCCTATCCTTCCATCCCGACCTTTCCCCTCTCCTCTTCCTTCCCGCTAGATCCCTTCTCCCTCTCCGTCCCGACTCCCGACTCCCATCCCGACCTCTCCCCCTCCCCATCCCGACCTCTCCCCCCTTTCCTTCCTTTGCTTACTTCTCCCTCCATCCCTGACTCCCATCCCGACCTCTCGCGATTCCCATCCCGACTTCGCCCTCTTCAACCCCTCCCGGCGTGGTCCCAACGTGTCTTGCCGACCTCCCCTATCCCTCCTTTCCCCTTCTCTCCCATCCCGACCTCTCTCCCTTCCCGTCCATCGCTTCCGACCTCCCCTATCCCTCCTCCCTCCTTCTCTATCCCGACTTCCCTCCTCTTCCTTTTCGCTACGTCCCTCCTCCCCCCTTCTCCTTTCCCCCGCA